AGGAGGGAGGGAGGAAAGGGGGGGAGGAAAAGGGAGAGGGGAAGGAAAAGGGGGGAAATTAGAGTTTTTCACCTAAGAAAGGCGGCCATAAGGAGATCCTAACCCTTTCCCCTAGGAAGCCCCCTCCCCAATCTCCCCCCCCACTCCTCCCAGCCCTAGGGGACCAGGCTCCCTTTCTCCCACACGTTTCATTCCCCCCTCCCCTTAATTGCCACAGGGCTCCCCCTCCCTTTTTTTCAAGCCGAGCAGTCTCCTTCTCTCCCCCCCCAAGCTCCCTAAAGCCCCCCAAGAGGAGAGACAGGACCACTGCCCGGTGGAGAAAGGATGCCCGGGGGAGTCCCCTTTCCGCCCACGGCCTGAGGCGCTTTCAAGCCCACCTCACAACCACAACCCTTCGAGGCAGTCCAGGCCTTGGGGGGACCCGCGCCAACCGCCGCCCCCTCCCCCTCAGGCCCGGCCCCGCCCCTCGTCCCCAAAACCGCCCCCTCCTCTCGCCCCCCCCTCCTTACGGGCAAAGCCCCCGTCGCCGCTTCTCCTCCTTCCTCCTCCTTCCAGCGTCGCTCCGCCGGCGACGCAAGCCCCTTCACTTACGGCTTGTCGCAAAGCCGCCCCTCGGCCTGAAGTGTTGCGGGCGGAGCGAACTCTACGGCCGTTTGGGCGGGGCCGCGCCGTAGATTTAGAAATCTAGAGTTTTGTGTAGAGCGCTCCTCGCCCTGCGGATGGGTTACTTCCGGGTCCCTCTCTCAGGAAAGAAGGCTTTGTCAGGCCCCAAATGGCCAACCTTGGATTTATTTATTATATTTTATTTTGTCAAAGATGTATAAGATAACAGATATAAGTATAAACATGATTATGGATGCTTTTAAGACTGGTGGGGCTTCAAAGCCATGTTGTCTTTGTGGCGTTTGAAAGGTTGCGGTTGGGGTGAAGGAACATGCATATGCTACATTATATAACATACAATATCTAACAATATATATTATAATATATATAATAAAATGTGTGTGTGTGCGCGCGTGTGTGTACACACACACACACAGACACACACACACACAGACACACAGACGCCAAATACCACTCATGAATCATCACAAAATTTCCAGAACCGTAAAGCCTACAAATTTAAAATTTGGCACACATGTTCCTCCTGGCATCTAGGTGCTCGCTAAGAAAGGATTTTTCGAAATGACCATCAGATCATCAGTATTCCTTATAGAGTATTATATTAACACATGTCGATGCTAAGGAGTTAGAAGTTCTACTACCCCTCCCCACCCGAAAGGAACTCTGTTCCAACTGCCAGTTGCCTTATATGGGCATGGCCAGTGAGTGACTCATCCGGCCTGCTGGCTGACCCAATCACATGGTTTTGTAGCGAAGCACTGGTATCCAGCTAATAGTATATATGTTATGGCATGCATAAGCACACCAGCGTGCCCTACATCCCTGTCCTGCTGTCCCCATCTATTTGTATTCATTTCTTTTGTTCACATCCATGTTTATATTTATACTTGCTATCTTGTACATGTTTGCCAAACTAATCAATACAAATTCAAGAGTGCAGAGCAGAGCAACCAGGATGATGAAGGGGCTGGAGGCTAAAACATATGAAGAACGGTTGCAGGAACTGAGCATGGCTGGTCTAGTGAAGAGAAGGACCAGGGGAGACATGATAGATGGGGACA